CGTACACACACACACACACACACACACACACACACACACCCCAGAATGGCCTTAGATATGTCGACTAGCAGTACCTACAAAAAAGAAAACAATTTCAGCTCCCATAAGGAGAAACAATCATCCCCTCAATGGACTGTGTCAGATGCATCATCTCAAAGTAGCTTTAGATAATATCAGTGTGTCTACTGAAAATGATTATGATGTTTCCAGAAGAAACCCATGATGTTAGTGCACTGTCCCCATATTAATGGTATCTGTCCTACCACCTTTATTTTTTGTGTCTGGCAGTGCACTTAGCTATGTATCAAACTAGTTACTCAGATCTAAAAATCAGTTTTTAAAAAAAAGTTATAAAAACTATCACTTTTTCAAAGATTTGCCACAGACACATTATAAAGCATGCTGGGCAATCAGATTTCTGGATTTACTCAACATTCCATGCCCTAAAATTTTGCATTTAGAGGATCTCAACATGTACAGCTTGTTGTTCTTCTACTGATCAGTTATGAGTGCCTGAATGTTTACGTTAAGAATACATGGAAATGGATTACTCAGATTTTAACACAAAGCAAAACTTCATAAAATTTGCTGCATATTGTAGAAATAAGTAGAAAATCCTAGAATCCCAGTCCTCAAATTCTAAGAGACCACCAGGAAGTAAAATTATAAAGAAAATCCCCAGCATTCAAAGAAACATAGTATCTCTGTGACACGTACATCACAGATAAAGTAATCTACATATCCCTCAGTTTCTGATATAAGATATTTCACAGTTTGCCTGGGACAGGATAAATCTTGCTCATTTTGAAGATGAATAATTGGCTTTCCCTGAGCGTACCAATGGAGCTGAGCAATACTGATTTTTCGTTTCAGTGGTTAAACCAAGAAATCTCAAGGGAGAAAAATTGTTTCAGGTCAACACGAAACAGGATTTTGTTTTGTTTTATTCATTTTGTTTCATTGTCGGGTGTTTTTTACTCTCTCTCTCTCCTTTGTTTTAAATGTACGGGGGGTAAAATTCTAAACAAAATGTCATTTCAAAATGGAAAATCAAACATTGTGTTTAGAAAACATCAATTTGGGAAGGGGGAGGGAGTGCAGGCCAACTATTCACTGAATTAACCCAATTTTGCAAGTAGTTTCAGTCTACCTGAAACCGCATTTTTTGGTGAATAAACTATTCATCCACAAAATTTTACCCAGCCTTGTGTACCACATACATGCATGAGAACTACTACTTTTGGCACTCTAATAAATACATAAGTAGCCTGCATTATTAAAACTACAGTAAAAGGTCAAAAGGCACCGGTGATTACCAGACTGATTATACATAATGCATGGCAATGTAGAAAATGTGCTTTGAAGCACACACAAAAACAACAGGAAAGAACTGGTCACTTACATTATTCATGTATTCAGACAGAAGATCTTGGAGAGCTTGGCGGATGGCGTTGCACTCTGTGATTATTTGTTCTCGATGAAAGTCACGCGTGCAGGAAGAGTCAGCTAACAGTGCTGCCCCACTGATAATCCCTTCCAAACGTTTCTCTAGTGATGGCCTTATTTTTTCTTCATTCATTGTAAGTGGATCCAATATGATTAAACTCTAGAAAAAAATTAGAAATTTGGTCATCTCTTGCCTGGCTAACTGTAACATTCTATTTTCCAATCTTCCCTCTTACCACTACTTTGCCATTCAAATATATCCAAAATAATGATGCTCAAGGCATCTTCCCTTTCCACATTCACATCCACTATACCTACTTTGCATGGTGTCAAGTATCAGGGGAATAGCCGTGTTAGTCTGTATCTACAAAAACAAGACTCCTTGTTGTTTTTATACCTACCTTGTCCCTCAATATTTTCACTGACATCAAAATTCAAGATCTTCATCCTCACCTTTTGGATCATAAAGTCGCTCCCACTCCTACGTTACTGCTAGTTTCCTCCCCTCAAATAGCATTTCACCCTATTCTAGGTACTTATATGACCCCAATCCCTGTGATGTCTGAGCACATCACACACAATACTTAACGCATTCATACAAACCTCTGTGAGGTAAGGAAGTGCTAAAAATCCCATTTTACAAATGGGAAGCTGTGGCAGAGAGAGACTAAGTGTCTTGCCCAAGGCCACATTGGAAGTCTGTAGCCAGGCAGGGTACTGAATCCAGCCTCCTAAGTCTCATGCCAAGCCCTAACCACTAGATCATCCTTCCTCTGGAAGTTTTGCCATTGACTTAAATGGAGCAGAATTTCACCCTTTGTCTACCTAACTCCTCTTTCCCTTCAATTCCTTCCCTGAAACTCCTTTTTGTAGGGCCATAAGTCTTCCATTTCCTTACCCTCCCTTTTCCTGAACTGTTCCTTCACATGATATGTTTGTCTTGTCTACTTTAGATTGTAAACTCTCAAAAGCTAGAAATTGCTTGTGTACGTTTATGGCACTATAAGTAATTTTAATACTATTATTTAATACTTAGTATCCTTCTACAATATTTTTTTTCCTGGACACAAGATTTTATATTAGTGGATTGTTTTTCATTTTAAAGCCTGGGGATGTTCAAAACCTCCCACGACTGCACTCTCAGAGATCTGGGTCTCCTCTGAATACAAAAAAGAAGCCAGCAGCGCTTGCCCACAGTTGAAAGATGCCATCTTGGATTATGTGAATGGGTTCTGCTGATTTTAGAACACAGGTTACTAGTCTACTGACATAATATATCTGGATTTTAGTAATGCTTTTGACATAAGCAAATTAGGAAAATGTGGTCTAGACAAGATGGATGCACAACTTGCTGAAAGACCATATTCAAAGAGTAGTTACCAATGGTTTGCTATCAAAGGGGGGATAGGGAAGAAGAGTGCCTACGGGGGTCGTGAAGGGGTTAATCTGGGGTTCAATGCTATTCAATATTTTCATTTATGACTTGGAAAATAGAGTGGAGAGTATGCTTATAAAATGTGCAGATAATAACAAACAGGGAGGGTTTGCTAGCACTTTGGAAGACAGCATTAGAATTAAAAATGACCTTGACAAATTGGATATTTGATCTGAAATCACCAAGATGAAATTCAATAAAGACAAGTGCAAACTACTATGCTTAGGAAGGAAAAAAAATCAAATGGACAACTACAAAATGGGTAATAAACAGCTAGGCAGTAGTATTTCTGAAAAGGATCTTGGGGTTTTAGTGGATCAGAAATTGAATGAGTCAAAAAATATGATGCAGTTGCAAAAAAGGCTAATATCACTCTGAGGCATATAAATAGGAACACTGAATGCAAGACACAGGAGGTAGTCCTCCTGCTCCACTCAGCACTGGTGAGGCATCAGCTGGAGTATTGTGTCCAATTCTGGACACCACACTTTAGGAAAGATGTGGACAAATTGGAGAGAGAGTCCAGAGGAGAGCACCAAAAATTATCAGGTTTAGAAAAACCTGGTTTATGAGGAAAGGTTAAAAAACCTATGCACATTTAGCCAGGAAAAAAGATGACTTGGGGAGGGAACCCCGATAAATCTTCAAATACGTCAAGGGCTGTTATTAAGAGGACTGTGATCAATTGTTCTTCGTGTCCAATGAAGGTAAGACAAGAAGTAACGAGCAAGGTAGATTTAGGTTTGATATTAGGAAAAACTTTTAACTATAAAGATAGTTAAGCACTGGAACTGGCTTCCAAGGTTGATTGCAGAATCCCCTTCATTTGATATTTTTAAAAACAGGTTAGACAAATACCTGTCAGGGATAGTCTAGTACACTTGTTCTGTCTCAGTGCTAAGGGTCAACTTGAGGACCTCTTAAGGTCATTTCCAGCCCTACATTTCTGTGATTCTGTGGGGGCAAAAATGCAGCATTGCCACTTCAAGAGGCTGAATGGGCAAACTGCAAAATATTAGCCTCTATTATTATTCCTAATTTTTGTTCAACATTAGTCTTTTGGGGATGCTGGGAGCCTCTTACCAGCAAAGGCTAAATCGAGTACATGTTTAAAACAAAAGAACTACTATAAAAAAAAACCTAGAGAAGAGTAGAGGCTGAAGCCAAGGTAAGTAAAATTGGTCTCCAGCCCAAATCAAGGAAATTAAGTCCAGACCCCTACTAAGAGGCTGAGCTTCTTAATCAAATTTGGTGTTTGAAAGGGGAAGTCATTACCTGTACTTATCCAACATGAGTCAGTCCACTTTTTACAGACTTTTAAAGGTGACCTATAAAAAGGGAAAGATAACACTGGTCTACAATTTTTGAGACGTCGTCTGCTTCAGAGATAAAATATGCTATTTATTATGTATTTTGATGTGCTGAATTCAAATATGACAATTAAAACAACTGATTGGCTACTGTTTCTAAGATATTTAAGTTTTTACATTTTATGTCTATGTATATTGTGTAGATAGTAGAGTTTTAATCATAAATTGTGAACCTAGGTCTTTTCATGTGTTTATGGTTGCTTTACATGATAATATTTCACCTGTCCTGTTTATGTAACACTTTAAAAATCAGCAAAAGGGTTATATAAATAAAAATTATGACACAAAAGGCAAAAAACTATTCTGTACATAGTTTAGTCCTATTCAGTGTCTACTCGGCGCTTCTTGGCTTGTCTCCTGTATTCATTAAATGGAGCATCTCTTGTCACTGTCCAGCAATAGTCTGCAAGCATTGATGGGCTCCATTTTCCCTGATCGCGTTTCTCCATGGTT